TGTGTTTGTGTGTGCGTAAATTTTCGGATATAACTAAAAATATATAAGTAAAAAAATATGAAAAAAGAAAGACTTTTCAAAGTCAACGCGTTTCGTTACATGACGTAATTTATCAATGTTGATAATTTTTAAAATAATTAAAAGAAAAAAGTTAAATTCAAAACTTTATATTTTTAAATATATAATGAATAAATTAATTTATGGAAGGTAAATAATGTAAATAATAATTAAATTATTTTAAAAAATTTAACAACAACAATAACATTTACTCATTTTTGACAATTAATTATATCATTTAGCATCTTCCATAGTTTACCTGAAGAATATTTATGAGCGTTCTCATTAAATGACGATATTCTTTACATCGGTTTGTAAATATTCGTTGTAAAATAAAATCCTTTCTTTTGCCTTTTACAGCAAAGGCTGAAATATCCCGGTGAAGAAAACCTTTCCTTTTGTCTTTATATATATATATATATATATATATATATATATATGTGTGTGTGTGTGTGTGTGTGCGTGTGTGTGTATGTGTCTGTGTGTGTGCCCATTAAAGAAATTGTATTACGGATCAATCAAAATTCGTAAATAATAATATAGGCCATACTACAACATGTATGACCCGAAGACTCACTCTACACCTTTCTGACCATAGCTCAATTACATCTCATTTAAATATACATGGAAACCTATCGGACCCTATTCCTAACATACTTGTTTACAACACAAATATAATAGCATCAACTACATGCAAAAAAAGTTTAAAAATAATGGAAGATTTATTCATAAAAAACAAAAAACAACATTCAGTAATATCAACTGTGAACATGGACATAATATCTTGACCGTGTTTAGAAAATGAAAACATTATATAAATACATACAAAAAAAAACTATTGCTTATTTAACAGTTAAAATATTTCAACCTTGAAAATGGCCAAATGTATTGCCGAAAGCGCTCGGATAAAAAGAACATTCGGACAGTTTTTATATATTTTATCATCTGAAAAAAAAACTATTAGATCACATGAGAATTTGTAGAAAAAGTACTTTGTCGTATTTAATGAAATGTGCATGACAGAAGAATTACAGCCTAAAATATATATATATATATATATATATATATATATGTGTGTGTGTGTGTGTGTGTGTGTGTGTGTGTGTGTGTGTGTGTGTGTGTGTGAAAATATATAGAAAATAGGAAGGAACTGGTTAGGTAAATAATCCAAAGTCCCTTAGTATTTTTAGTTATTATTTTAAAAATAGTGCTCGATACAAAAGTAGAGCATAAATATATTATTTATTTAAAATATGATTCAAATCGCGACATAAAAGTCCCATGTTTCAAAACAAGAGCCGAAAACTTCAATATAATTATTTAAATTATTTAAATTAAATTGAGTTAAAATAAGCTCTGTTCCATCTTCAAGCGAAATTTTTTGGGAATTCTTGTTTTGAAACATGGGACTTCTTATGTCGCGATTTGGAATCATATTTTTAAAAAAATAATTATATATATATATATATATATATATATATATATATATATATCCGAATCTAATGAGAACGAAAATAATATATAATTTCTAACGCTTACAGCATTAATTCAAAAGAGGGCTCAATACCAAGAAGTAGAGGAATAATTAGTTAATAATTCTGAGAACCAAAAATGGTTTGGTTGTCACCAGTCAAGGCGCAACTGAATGCGCCGAAACAAAGTTGCATCGTTGTAGGGAGTAAATTGTTTTTGCCTATATAAAAATTATAATAAAATAAATTTCAATAACCAAAAATACTATTCTTTATAGAGTGCTCAATCAACCTTGCTAACCGAATATGCTTTATATATAAATTATAAGCCCTTTTTCGAACGTAACTAATAAATGATACAACAAAAGTTAATAAAAATGAACACGCTACCACAACTTGTCTGAATGATTGGATCTTTCTGTATCATTGGAAACAGTAAATTATGAATTTTTATGTGCCTTTAAAACTCAGTAAATTTAAAAATTAAGTTACTCCAAAGTTCGCTTGAGGATGAAATGGAACTAATGTTTTTTTTTTTTTTAATTTAATTACAAAATTAAATTCGAAGCTTCCATTTTTGAAACATGGTTATTACTGCGTAGCGAAAAAAAACATATTTTAAATAGTTAATATAATATATATATATAAATATATATATATATATATATATATATATATATATAAACAGTATTAAATAATATAAATATATATATATAAACAGTATTAAATAATATTAAATAGCATTTACTTAAATATTTGTATCTATAAAAGAATGTTAAACATAAGAATGTCTTAAAATAATTGTCGGACTTTGTCCATTTCAATGTGACGTCATTTGTTTACATTTGGAACCTGAGGAGCAATTGAACAGTCGAAGATTGAAGGTAAAAATTTTCAAAGGTTAAAATACCAACCAACCTCGCAGCCTCTTTAAAACCTGAGGATACCTTACAGTCGAAACCGGATTGCGAAGTTCGTTGGCAGTTTTAACCATTTTCTTAAATATCTAAGCGCTACATATTCAATTTTGAATTTTGTTTTCACTATTCCATGTATATTTCTTTCTGTACATAGATAGATAGATAGATAGATAGATAGATAGATAGATATGATGAGAACGGATATCTAAGGTTAAGCCCTCAAACCTATATATATTTTTTTGAAAAAAGAGGAGGTATTTTGCTTTTGAAATTAAATTAACCGTTCACTCGCCTGTAATTTCCAACCATTGGCAACTTCAATTATGTAGCGATTTTTTAACATGTTTTGATTTAATGTACTAAAATAAAAAATATATATATATATATATATATATATATATATATATATATATATATATATATATATATAAGATGTCCTATAAGATGTAACTATTCTTACATGAAGCGTTTCGATCTCTGACGGACTTTATCAAGGCAATGTAGGATCTATTTTGTTGCACGTGGTATAGAAACACAAAAAGTGATTATGTCATTGGTTTATCATTTAAATTTGAGAACGTTTATGAATTTTCATCTTTTGGTTGAAATATCAGCCAAAACATGTGGAGGACACAACGTGCCATAATTCGAAGTCTGGTAAAAGCAATCGAGTAATATTGAACAAATCTTTTATTTTATTAATATTGTTTAAATTCTGACGAGATCGTTATAGGAAGAGATAGACATATGTGCTTTGTTTTTGTAGATAAACACGTGCAACACAATAAATCCTACATTGCCTTGATAAATTCCCTCAGAGGACAAAACGTACCGGTTAAGAATAGTTTTTTTTTTTTCTGTTTCTCTACAGATACGCTGTGATGGTGTATTGGATAGCGCCTCGGATTTAGAAATCGGAGAGCCGAGTTCGAATTCCAATCGAATTCATTACATTCACTTATTTGCTAATACCCTTGGGAAAGGTATGAATCCTCTTTTTCTCTCACTAGCTATGGGTAAATAGCAGAACAGACAGGGTTCTATTGCCTTGGATGGCAACTGGTCTACCGCAGAAAGAAATGGCAACCTTCTGCGGTAAAAAAAATCTGCCTCGTCGAAAGATTCATGATCGCCTAAGCGTGCATCAAGTATGGCACATAACTGACTGATAGATACACACTATCTGAATAATTTACACACGCGCATACACACACACACACAAACGCACACACACACATATATATATATATATATATATATATATATATATATATATCAGTATCTATTTGTATAAATTTAGTTAAAATATTCACTGTGTTAAAGCCTTTATTTATATCACCATTATATAAGAAAATGTGATATAAAACTCCTTTTTCTCATAATCTAAAGACATTACCTTTATCGACAAAATCTTGTAATATATGATTTATTGTACTCTGTTGAGATATATGAAATAATGCAAAGTCTTATGTATTTTAAAACTATTCATCAATTCTTAACTACAGCACGTCTAAAGTTATTATCTATATCACATACACTTCAATAACTCAAAAAATCCAGAACTAATACTTGTCAAGTCTATTTCCAGCCTTGGAAATAGACTGCTTTCCCATTGTAATATGAAGTAATATTCCTACAGGAATATTCCAAGAGAAATATTACTCCAGCGTAACCAAGTAATGGTTAGCGGCCGGATTGATGAATCTTTGAGCCGAGTTCAAATTCGAGTCGATTTCTTTACATTTTACTTACGTGATAATACTCTTGGGAAAGGTATGAATTCATCTGTTCTCCCGCAGCTATGGGTAAAACAGCAGTACAGACTGGGTTCTGTAGCCTTGGGTGGCAACCATTGTAGAAAAAGTACAACAGTGAATTCAAAAACCATATGTAGGCATGGTGGAGTAATGGATAGTTCGAATTCCAGTCGGATCCATTGCATTCACTTACGTTCTAATACCCTTGGGAAAGGTATGAATCTTCTTCTTCTAACCCCCACCACCACCTAGTTATGGATAAATAGCAGGAAAGACCCGGTTCTATAGTCTTGGATGGCAATTGGTCTACCGCAGAAAGAAAAAAATCTGCCTCGTCAGTCATGTATCGAAAGATACATGATCGCCTAAGTGTGTATCACGTATGGCACATAACTGACTGATGTAGCCCTGGCAAAGCACTTAAAATACAACTAACGAAAGGATCGGGTAAGGTACATTGATTCTGTGATCTCGATTATCTAAATATTAATGGTATTATTGTGTGATATTTCAAATTAACTTTTGTAATATCAACGAATATTCGTTGTCACTTTCATAATGCTCGTTGTAGTAAAGACTTTGTAATCGCAGATACAACTAGAGTAACGCCGTTGAACAATACTGGTGCCAGACGCCTTTGAATAACACTCGCACTAATAGTACTTGCTCGATGATAATCGTTCGAAAAGTAGCTACTGAATAGTAATGTGTATAGAGAAATAGTATAGTGGAAAGAGTAGAGAATAGCGATCGTTATAGTAATAGAGTATAGAGTAAAAAGCGTGATTAATCAGACGTCACGCTAATTCCCATATCTATCTATCTATCTATCTATCTATCTATCTATCTATCAATCTATCTATCAATCTATCTATCTATCTATCAATCTATCTATCTATCTATCTATCTATCTATCTATCTATCTATATATTTGGTTGGATAGATGTGAGTTTGTGACCCTGGGTTTCACGCTTTAGAGATCGTCAGACAACTGACGATCGCTAAAGCGTGAAACCCAGGGTCTATCTATCCAACTAAATATGTTAGCTCTATCTCTGATATTGAGTGCTTTCTAATAAGTACCGCGCATATAATATGTAAATAATTATACATATATATATTTATTTATATTTATATACACTTTTCACATACATATATATATATATATATATATATATAGTGTGTCCATAAAGTTCGTGTGCACTTTAAAAATTTTATAACTTTATTTGTGTTTGCGATACAAATAATCTGTAAAAAAATGTTATAAAGTTTACTGTACCTAGTTTTAAGTATACCTAAAATAACTAATGTGAAATTAGCAAATTAGCAAATGTTTTCCGTGAACTGCAAAATGCTATTACGCTTTCTATTTTTATCTTTCCGTTACAGATTAACACAAGTTCGTCATGTAAGTGTATCGCTGCCTTCTCCTATCCTTTTGCCCTCAATATACCCTGTGGGTGTTAACTTTTCCAAGCCCTCCTTCCTCATTATATATGCCCGATTCTAAGCATAAGTGTCTTTTTTGTTGCTATTTTCTTGAATATTTTTTCGTTTTCTGCCTCTGGAATTCTCAAAATGCTAATTAAAATAAGACATTTTTATAAAGTTTTTGATATTAAAGTTATGAAAAATATATATATATATATATATATATATATATATATATATATATATATATATATATATCTTGTCCCGTTATCTTTTTTAATCTTTCAGGCAACTTCATAATTCCATCCTCTCTTAATTTCATTTTCTTTCTTACTCAGTGAAACTTGATTTAATACTCACAGGCTTCCAAGGAATTGAATTTATTTTATTTAATTAAAATGATAATAATGCATTTAAATCTATAATTAAGAAATCCTATAATTTAAAAAAAAACAAACAGTTATAGTCTAAAATTGCACACTAATATGAATATTTACCCTGACCTCCTCACTGAGACGGAATGTGACACAAAGTCGGGTTTAATGTGGGGAACCCGAGCGCGTACACCCGGAACAAGAACAAAAATTCACCGAACCCTCGCAACCGTTGTTTGCGCTGCCCTCGGTGCTAGCACTAATTCCTCTCTCTAGCGCTATAAGAGGGTGCAGCCTCGGTATTTGTTCCCCAGGGCTGTGTGATTTTCCTCAGTTGCGCCTCTGTCCTTCGACGAAGCCACAACCGAGTCGCACACTGCCCAAAGACAGAGACATAATTGAGAGATGATAAAAACCTACCCGGAATGTGCCAGATGACAACTGTCAGAATAAAATGAATGATGAATATGGAAAGGTTAAATAAGTTTAGCACAAGTCCATATCTATGGGTCACTTGTCTAGTATAAACGAGCTCATTCACCATTACCGCACACAGAGGCATCCCTGTTACATATAAAGTTCACTAAAACTAAATAATTTTAATGCTATTTAATGACAAACATAATAAAGTTCCTCTCGGACAGCTTCTGCCAGAAAACAGACTCCCGAGAAGGTGCTTTCCAGAGCTTAGGAGATTTTTGTGGCTTAGCATATACGCTGGTTTCTTACGTTTTTGTAAGGAATCAGCTCATATGATAGGACATAAAAATCTCCAAGCCGGTCAACCTTAGACATGAATACAATATGGGAACCAGTAGTACGGAGTGCGAGAGAAAAAAAAACAAAAAAACAATAACAACAAAATTGTAATATGAGGTCTGGTAAAAAAAAAATGTACTCAGACATTAGGTATATAAATCCGAAAATTTCATGACAAATGGTCCAATGGATAAAACATTTGGTATTCCAGTGATTTGTCACAAAGAGTTATGACATCAATAACTGGCTTCAAAAACTTAGGAGAGTTGAATTAAAAAGAAATAACTGATATCTGGAAGAGGCCTGGCATGTGGAACTAGAAAAATCCACCTTGGTGGACGAGATAAAGGGTTCGAATGGAAATTCCATTCACCTGAAGAAGGTCAGAGCGTACAACGGACGAAACATGGCAACAAAGATGAGGATAACAGTTCGAACATTGTAAATAATTACAATACCTCATCACAGAAATATAAACAGAGATCCCTACAGTCTTAGCCTCCTCAAGTAAAACCGTTATATAGCCTACATATCATTATAATCTGCACATGCCCATCATTCAGTAACACTCTACCTTGAGTAGCTCTTGAGCCTCGTATTGGGTATTTAGTAAATAATTAACATTTAACAAAAAATACAGTAACAAATGATACTATATTTGAATAAAGTTTAAATAAATTGAGACGCACTTATTTTTGTTAAAAATATCTTTTAAAATTCCCCTTGCGTCTTATATGTCATGTAACAGTTTAAAATTCGCGATAGTCGTCCGAAATTAGCTAGCTGGCAACTCCTATTAGCTTAGACTTTAGAGCAACTTCCATATATTTATTGTCAGTATTTAAAAGGCTTTTATCCAGATTAAAAATGTTATCATTGATAATATTCATTATATTAATTTCATCACGTTTAATATTAGTACTTTATTTCACTAAAATTATATGCAATAAATTAAAATTAAATATTTGTAAAATATATTTGATTCATTAATATTTTTCTTGTGATAATTTCCGCTTGCATTGGTATAAATCCAATCAGAATTTTTATATCCTAACTATTCCACTAAGACATTTGCAAGACGCAGGTTGTACAGATCATATAAAGGAACATTTTTCACTAAATTTTTGTTCTATCCTTAAAGAGGTTACAAACAAACAAACGTCGTACTCGAGTGAAGGAACAGCAACACGCACGTAGATGAAAAAAGAGATTTATTTTAAAAGAGAATACACTACTGAAAGACAGGGAATCGGGTGGCAGGCTAGTAATTCCTGAAGCTAGCCCCCAGGTATATCCTGTGCTCACTATATATAGATGCTGATATATTCAGTTCACATAGGCGATAGGGGGTGTGGGGCATTCCATTATAACAATTTTAATGGTAATTGTACTGCTTTGCTCAGTTTTAATAATTGCTTGATTTTTTTTTGTTTTCTTGCCTTTGGATATAATAAAGTATTTGCAGGCTCGTGTTTTTAATTTCCTAATATTTTTCGTTTAATTGTAATCATGGCTTGTTTAACCAAAATAATATCCCATAAATATAGCCTAGGCTGTACCATTTACTAATTATAATTACTATTTTTTCTTGGTTTATACTGCTGAATTGGGGTGCGTCTTGCACACCTGTGCGTCTTATATGCTGTTCATTTTTTTAATTACCGTATTTGAATACGGTAATTAAAAATATGAACAATTGGTATTATTCGATATTATTCAACTACCACCGACTAGATCCTACATTTCCTCCGCTCGTCATGAGAGGTTGTACTCACGGTGAAGCTTCTTGATACGAACATCTGTTAGGACTAAACCACACACAAACGGAACTTGTATATTCGAAGCATTGCTAAAGATAAGGAAAGAATGTTCGCTTCCTTGTACCGGTGGTACCTCTCCCGAAAGTACCCTACTATTACCAACATGGCCTATCTTTATAAGAGTCAGGTCATACAAAAGAAATTAAAGTATTGGTCCATGTTTTGGGCTGAACTCGTCCAGTCCGCACTGTCCAGCTTTTGACAGAATTCAAAAGCGATCTTGTGGGTGGTTCTTTATTTTGCATTCTTCAATCCGTTTCTCACAGACAAAACATTGCGAGGCGTACTTTAATCTGTCGCTATTTCCGGAAAAAAAAACTTCGGACAACCTACATTCCTTAGTTCCACAAGTTCAGACCTTTACAGCTGAAAGCCGCCATGACAGTTACATAGTATCAACTCATAATTATTGGCTTTTTATTACATTGATTATAAGTTGGAATTTCCAATCTGACAGCTTATACCGCAGAACGTTTATTTGTGGAACATTTTTCCAAGCGATTGCTTCCTCGATCCCAACAATCTTAACCTCTTCTATCCTACCTATTCTTTTCCTATACACTTCTTATTTCCTTCGTTTAGAAACCACGCAACAAACTTATTCAGTAATAGTTTACCTGAATTGATTTTGGCGAATGATAATAATTAAAAAAAAAAGTTATCTGATTTTCAACAAGGAACGAATGTATTGCTCAAGTCAATACAGAGACATACACATGTTGAAAGATTTTATGACCAGCCTAGATGAAAACTTTTATTCTTCAAATTTCGTTAGTTTAGGATGCTTATGTCGGCTGTCTGATCTAATAAACATCCTTGTACGTCAAAATAGGTGAAGTATCGCTTGTGCTGCTGATAAAAGCACTTGTCTTATCTCGGAGGCAGCAGCCCGGAGATTCTGTGATGAACAAATTAACATCACTGCCAGTGCAATTATCATCTACAGCAAACCGTGTTTCACCTGGGGTGATTGACGTTAATTCGGACACTATAAGCGAGCAGATATCAGAAGTCGTCAGTATTGAAATAATTTGCTAACGGATTTTTGTTTCTACTGCCGAGAACACCATGCGTATTTCCATCTAGAAACAATCACGAGGCGATGGCAAAATGGATAAATTAGAGGATTATCTCCCCTGTCTATCAACTTTTATGGACAACCATGTATCGTAAGATATTGATCATCTATGTGCCGTGACACTTCAGGACGTTGGCGATCATGGTCCTCCCCAACTTCCTCTCCCTAGCAGCGCTAAGAAATGCTTAACTCTTTAACATCCCTCGTTGTTCTTGATCTGCTATCCATTCACATTGCCTTGTTAAGCAGGTTCTTCTTGTACATTCCGTATCCCTTGAGAACGTGGGCGATCATGGCTCTCCACATTTCCTCTCCCTTGCAACGCTAAACAGAAGATGACTCTTTACCATCCCTCCTTGTTCTTGCACACTTATCCATTCACATCTTTAAATAAGTTCTTCTTCTTATGTATGCCGTATTCCTTGAGGACGTATGCGATCATGGCTCCCCACAGTTTCCTTTCCCTTGCAGCGCTAAACAGCGTTTGGCTCTTTACCATCGCTCCTTGTTCTTGCTCACCTATCCGTTCACATCATTATGTTCTTCTTCTTGCATATGCTGTATATCTTTAGGACGTGGGCGATCATGGCTCTCCACTATTTCCTCTCACTTTACAACGTTTAACCCTTTACCATCTCTCCTTGTTCTACCTCTGCTATAAATTCACATTAAATCATTAAGTTCTTCTTTTACGTGCCGTATCCCTCGAGGACGTTGGCGACCATAGCTCGCCACTATTTCCTTTTTTTGTAATTCTTAATAATTTTCGTCTTTTTACTATCTCTCCTAAGCCCCGTTCCGCCATCCATTTACTCAAGCTCTTAGGTAGACTATGAGTTGTCTCCCTTATATCCCTCTTATGCTTCAATCTATCTAAACCCCCTTTTCTGGTTATGTGCCCTAGAAATGTCAACTGTTTCTTTCTGATAAATGTTCTTTTTGTTTCCAAACTTCGGTTAAATATTGTTGTGAAGAAAATTCGGTTCAAACAATAAAATGTTAAGGATGCCATTGAAAAACCACATTACATATGAGTGAGGTTTAGGCAGTTTAGGTACTACAAAAAAAAAGAGATGTTAGATAATAGTTTAGCAGACTATTTGTTTCTTAGAGGAAGTGCATCCATGATCTGACTTCCTGCGGTTGAGCACGAGATCATATACAACACATAATAAGGAAGTCGATTTTGACTGGCTGAGCTAGCGTGGGGAAGATATTTAGAGAAAAACAGGGAGTCGAATCTTAACCGTCAACCAATGTAGGCATGTTCTTTTTCGTGTCTGAAACGGCTCCCCAGTAAGAGTGGACACCCCCCACTGAATAGGTAGTACATGTCGAAATTAATAAAAAAGTAATAAGTCTCCGTGTTGAAGTTCTTTCATCTCTGAACCCAAAACATCTAGCGATCACCTGGTAGGAGAAGTCGACAGAGAGTAGACAATATAATTAAATGATCACCGTTGGCCTCCCAGCCTGAGGGGTCTATGCAACAGAGAGACAAATGCAGATGGTAAATAGTAAAAAAAAAATACTTAGAACAACAAAAGACAGGATTTCTTGATTTGTTTTTACGGCTTATCAACCTTTTGTACGTTATTTAAAGCCAGGAAATATTTTTGGATTTTAAGAATCTTTTTTTTTTTTTTAGAGATATTAATCATTTACTGATACATGTCCTACTAATTAATCCAAATCAGGGAGGGGAGAAGATGTGGTTTCATAACCTTTCCCAAAGATATTTGCGCATAACTTAATATAACGAACCCTATGAGACTCGAAGCAACAGAAATGTGATTCTACAGATGGATACTGAGAATACTATGGACAGAACACGTGAGCCACAAGGAAGTTATGAAAAAAAACAGAATGACACTCATATTTAAAATTAGGAAAAGACAACTGAGATGTCTGGAACATATAATGAGAAAGGACAGCTTAGAAAGTGGAATACACTAAAGGCGTACTGAAGATCTAGGCGAAAACAGCGAGTAACTTCCTAATGGGTTTGTCTGAATTGACATCAGGGCATTGCAAAATGGAGATGGTAAGCCGTCAAAGTTTTTTTGAGTTGCCAACAGAGGAAAGTTGTAGTGAGTTGTGATCACCTACATCTTAAATAACGATGATCGTTTTTAACTTTTAGCTAAAAACTGATCGGCTTATTCTATCGCTCCAGAACGTATTTGACTTCTCCCAGGCGTTATCTTTACAAATTGAGTATTGCTGTCATGTCTGGCTTGGCGTTGCACTTCTTCATTTTGTGTAACAAAAATAGGGGATAGATCAAGATATTTGGAGACGTCGATTGACATTACATTTGAATAGTTGAAGATTATAACTCTCAGGGAAACTGGAATAGGGAAGGGAGTTCCACGGGCGAGAGGTGCGCGACATGAAGCTATTGGAGTAGAAGAGACAGCTATATTTAACAGTTTCGACAGTGAAAGGGGTGAGAGCGAGATGCCGGCCTTGTTGAACGCTTAAATTCATGAAGTCTGGGAACCAGCGAAAGCAGTTCATCGGAGCAGTTATCAAGCTAATTTTGCTTTTGTGACCTGAACGTCGATGTTTTGAAACTAACCCAGTTTCCATTACATTCCAGAGAATCAGCGTTGTGTTGCTGAAAGAGAATTTTCTAGAAGTTTCAAGAACTTTGGAGAATTTTCTAAAAGTTTCAAGAATTTCTAGAATGTTCAGGCTACTAACGCTCGTCTAATGAAAACCGGATGGCAGACTATATTCGGAGGCTGATTCGTGAAAGCAATTTCCAGTGTAAGCGTAAATTCCGAAAACTTACTTCAATTTTTTTTGTGGTCTCTGTTGTGTAATCCCAGAATAAATAAGTGTTACTTTTGAATCATATGTCGTCTTGTTCCTACTTTGAATGAACGAGAATGTTTACATTCGCCAGTTTTCCCAAAGAGAAACGGTTTTGTTTTGTGGCATATTAACCTCAAAAGGTTATTTAATGACAAAACGATTTTGTATTTAATTTGTTTTGTTTTACTTAATGGGTTATTTAATGTCGACAAGATTTTTATTGCCGGTAATATTTGAATATTTTCCGCAAATGTATTGTTGGTAATTATTTTCAAAAATGTATTGCTGGTAATAATTTTTTCTTCAACAGCGTATAATTCTTCTCTAATAAAAGTACTGCTGGTAATTTTTCCCCCCTCAAAAATGCATTGCTGATATTAAAACCCATTTTTACACCTCCACATCATTTTGAACCCAGTTTAGGGGCCAACTATTTGTCCGTAGTTGGGACTCTAACAGGTTCTACCACTCTATGTTAGGGTGGACCTGGAAATAGCATCAATTAAGAGGTAGTTCCACGCTACTCAAAAAACTTCCTGAACAGAGGCCTTGCTGTCATGTAATTTATCGTCGTACCCAGGAAACGGATGCAGTTTATCGTCTTACCCAGGAAGAAATAAAATAGGCAAATTCCAGAAATATCATTATCCTGGTCACAACAATAAATTTTAAAGGAAACATTAGCCATTTTTTCTAGTTTATAGGCATAAGCAAGTAAGAAATAACAGTTGCTACACCAAGGATAAAAATTATGTTACACAGTGAAATAGTGTTTAAGCACGTTTTCGTAGTCTTCTAGGAAATGATTTATTTATTGGTCCTCCTCTATGGCAGTGAATGCTAGACAATCTAATCACAGATTAAGAGACTTGATGCAGCATGTGGTTCTCCAAAAAAGATGCAGAAATTACCATAAACTGAACATGTGAGAAAAGACGATGTTTTATAGAAAATGGATACAAAAAAGGAAACTTAACATTGGATAGAGACAGTTGCAATTTCTAGGACATATAACGAGGAAAGATGGCTTGGAAAACATGATACTCACATGACAGATTGAAAGGAAGGGGGACAGAGGAAAGTAGTGCATAAAATACCTTAAAAACTTTTATAAATGGTCTGCGGAAGAGATATTAGGGAGCTACTATAATATGATATCTACCGTCCATTTTCTTCTGTAGTATGATATCTATTATTAATTTTCTACTATGGTATGTTATTTACCAACTGTTGGAAGTATGAAATATGTTAGGATTAGATGTTAGGGTTAGGAGTTAGAGTTACGGTTAAAGATGGTGAACTGGTTATGTATTTTAATACATAACCAGTTCACCATACATAATACAAAACATGGAAATTGTATATAACGGGGAAATTGTGCAATGTCATGATCATGAACGTCCTGCAATAACAGGACATTTAGAAGAAGAAGTTGAAGAAGAAGAGGCCTCCCTCCTATAGATACAACATGCTGTTTCGATTCAGGTAGCATCTCTTCTTAATTGACTCTAACACAATTTCCTACATTGTGTATTAACTTAAGAGACAGGAAGCCATAGTTTTACCGCATAAAGGGGGAGGTGGTGAAATGGAAGCAAACGCAAAGAAAACCCGAAGAAGAACACGCGACACACGATTTTAGAGCGAAGGACTTCATCTTGATGAGATGAAATGGGTCCAGAACGACGACGAATTATCTATCTCAGCCTCTTCATTATCTCTCTATCTATCTATCTATCTATCTATCTATCTCAGCCTCTTCATTATCTATCTATCTCAGCCTCTTCATTATCGATCTATCTATCTATCTATCTATCTATATGTTGTAACCTAGGAAAGGTTACTGAGGAATAAACAAAACGGGGGTTGGAAATGAAATGGTTATCTTTATAACATCAACAAAATACAATACTCGTCAACGGCGTGAATTAAGTAAATCACTGTTAGCGGTGGACTACTTAGCATATTACCCCCACTTACAATATTGTCCAATGTATTTATGAGGATTGGGACATAACCATTAGTGATCATAGGTACGGTATATCAACACTATCTATTACAGTTCAGGTTCTATCTATCTATCTATCTATCTATCTATCTATCTATCTATCTTATCTAATCATATCTATCTATCTATCTATCTATCTATCTATCATTATCTATCTATCTTAGCCTATTCATATCTATTCATCTATCTATCTATCTATCTATCTATCTATCTATCTATCTATCTATCTATCTGTTGTAACCTACAGATACAACATGCTGTTTCCATGGCAGCATTTTCAGGTAGCAGGAATACTCTAAACAATTTCCTACATTGTGTATTAACTTAAGAGACAGGAAATGGTTTTACCGCATAAAGGGGAGGTGGTGAAATGGAAGCAAACGCAAAGAAAACCCGAAGAAGAACACGCGACACGATTTTAGAGCGAAGGACTTCATCTTGATGAGATGAAATGGGTCCAGAACGACGACGAATTATCTATCTCAGCCTCTTCATTATCTCTCTATCTATCTATCTATCTATCTATCTATCTCAGCCTCTTCATTATCTATCTATCTCATTCTTCATTATCGATCTATCTATCTATCTATCTATCTATATGTTGTAACCTAGGAAAGGTTACTGAGGAATAAACAAAACGGGGGTTGGAAATGAAATGGTTATCTTTATAACATCAACAAAATACAATACTCGTCAACGGCGTGAATTAAGTAAATCACTGTTAGCGGTGGTTCTATCTATACCCCTATCAATATTGTCCAATGTATTTATGAGGATTGGGACATAACCATTAGTGATCATAGGTCGGTATAGCACTATCATTAGTTCAGGTTCTATCTATCTATCTATCTATCTATCTATCTATCTATCTATCGCTTAGCCTAATCATATCTATCTATCTATCTATCTATCTATCTATCTATCTATCTATCGCTTAGCCTATTCATATCTATCTATCTATCTATCTATCTATCTATCTATCTATCTATATATCTATCTATCTATCTATCTATCTGTTGTAACCTATAGATACAACATGCTGTTTCCATGGCAGCATTTTTCAGGTAGCATTACTTCTTAATTGACTCTAACACAATTTCCCACATTGTGTATTAACTTAAGAGACAGGAAGCCATAGTTTTACCGCATAAAGTAAGAGGTGGTGAAATGGAATCAAACGCAAGGAAAACCAGAGGAAGAACACGCGACGCACGATTTTAGAGCGAAGGACTTCATCTTGATGAGACGAAATGGGTCCAGAACGACGACGAATTAGATTCTTGAGAAGCAAATCATCGAGAAAATATTGATGATTCGTTCGTTTTACTATGTGATGATCAGCCCATAAATTCAATAACAGTTTTCTGTGTTATGTAAGACAATGTTCATACCCGAAACGATAGGAAGATGAACGCACAAGGATTTGCATTATGCTCTCAACAGGACGTATTCCTCTAACAAATTGAAATGATCTTTTTCTATTAAGTTCTCTTGACACGGAATAAAATGTTGATTCATACCATTTCATTTTCATTGTCTTCTCGAATGTCTTCAGCAAACACTTGACGAAACTTGGTGATTGTTTGAACATACAAAGGATTACTGAATCAGAAATAACCAAAACAGAGATTGGAAATGAAATGGTATTCTTTATAACATCAATAAAATAAAATACTCGCTAGCGGCATGAAGTAGGTAAACTACTTCTAGTGGTGCACTACTTAGACAGCATATTAATCCCACTTAAAGTAGTGTCCAATGTATTTATGAGGGTTGGGGCATACCCATTAGTGTTCATAGGTACGGTATATAACATTTTTCTATCTCAGTTAATGTTCTATCTATCTATCTATCTATCTATCTATCTATCTATTGTAACCTAGGTAGGGTTACTGAATGAGGAATAACGAAAACGGAAGTTGAAAATGACATGATAATCTTTATAACATCAACAAAATAAAATACTCGCAAGCGGCGTGAAATAGTTAAACAACTGCTAGTGGTGGACTTCTTAGTATATTATCCCTACTTACAATTGTGTCCAACGTATTTATGAGCATTGCGACATACCCATTAGAGTTCATTTGTACGGTATATGATATCGGTTACTTATGGGTTTTTTTTTACGTTAGAGTTTAGAATGTTTTTTGGGTGAATGAAAACTCCCCGATGAAGTATTATAAACGAACAGTATGAATTTTATTACCGAACAATTTGACAAAGAAGTATTCATTTTGCCTTAAACCAGTTATTCAAAAATATGATATTTACGACATGAACTATGATGAAAATAAAATAAGATATGGTATATAATCATACTAGCGGTAGAGCCCGGCGTTGCCCGGGGATGTAACAGTAAGAGATAGATCAAGTATCGACCATCATAAAAACTGAAAAATAAAATTAACAAAGATTATTGTTTAAGGTTGGTGAACACGCATGTCTTAATTAGTTTTTTTTTTGTTTTGTTTTGTTTTTGTTTTTTTACGAATTGGTCAAACCCAAACTCAAACAAAAACATTGTTTTCAATCGTTATGAGTCTACCGATTGAATAGAATTTTATGATAAACAATTGTCTTGTAAATGGAATTTTTTAAGCATTCTGAATGTAAAAATAAAGAAAAAAGTGTGCAAGACAATAAGAAACACTACCTGATAAAAAAAAAGTGAAGTTTTGTTGAAATCGGTTGAAAAATGAGGAAAATCAGATCCCATATATAAACGAACACAGACGCACAAAAACAACCTGTGTTTTATAATAAGTATAACTCGATATGAGTTGTCCCCCTTTCATTCTGGCGACTTAATCCTGTTTTCAAATTGATTTCGTGAAAAAACAATTGTGTTTTTCCAATTTTGGGCGCTGTCAGAACCACCGCAAGGTAATTTTACAATAGTCCTGTGAAGTTTTGTTGAATTCGGTTGAAAAATGTAGGAAATCCGATCAAATATATAAACGTACACACACACACACACACACACACACAATCTGCGTTTTATAAT